GAATACCCACTTTTCGTGGGAATACCCACGTGCAAAATTAGCCGTTTTCGTGGGAATACCCACTTTTCGTGGGAATACCCACGTGCAAAATTAGCACGAAACAGTTCTAATCCCGCATTGGTATACACAAAAACCGATACAGGGTATGCAAGAAAACCCATCCGGGAGGAATAAGTACAACCAGTACTATCACTTACTGCTGCAACGAGATATATCAGCAATAGACTCGCACAGTACTGCTACTGATTAGTTCATTATCTTCATTTGGATCCAGTGTTGAATTAGTATTTAGTTAGTATTACTGCGTTTACGAGTACTGTCGGCAATGGCGTTAGTCTTTTTCACCATGGGATTCCCTGTTACAAGGACGTTTCATACCCTCAGCCTGCTGGTAAGCGTTGTTGTCGTTGCCGTCGTTGCTGTTTTGGGTGTTTTGCCATTGCTGAAAGCAAGTCATCGCCATTGCGAGAGCATTCTTCCACATCAGATTAGTCTCTTTAGCAATTTGGCTTGCCTCCTTTGCAAGCTTAGACTGCTCCAAAGCTAACTCACGATTTTCTTTGTCCCTTTGTTGCTGGCTAATCAAATACTCATTGAATACAGTAGCATCCGGTACTTTCGAATAGGATCTCTTACTTGGAGTAGCGGACTGAACTTTGGAGGGTCTGATCGACGAGTCATCTGATTCCTCACCAGCAACGCCAGCAACGATGGGGCGTCTTCCATGGGAAACTTCAGCAGAGGGGATCCTCTCCAACTCACCCTCAGCGTCACTAACGATGAAGCCTTTCTTCATATCAAAGTCCTCCTCTCCAGTACCAATATTTGCTTTCCTTCCAATCAAGAAATGGGCCCGGCGTGCAAGTTTCACGTACCTAGGCATGTTGGGATTCCCTGTAGAGCTTTTCCTTCTTTTAACAGCACTGTACTTGTTCCTGATGGATTTCTTGCTTCTGTCAAAGGGAAAGTTTACAGCATGTCTGGCAACAACAGTATCCCACTGTTCTGAATCGAT